GGTTTAGGGGTTTAGGGGTTTAGGGGTTTAGGGGTTTAGGGGTTTAGGGGTTTAGGGTTTAGGGGTTTAGGGTGTAGGGCTTTGGGTTGAGGGTTTAGGGGTTTAGGCTTTAGGGTTCAGGGGTTTGGGGTTTAGGGTTTAGGGGTTTAGGGGTTTAAATGGTGGATCTCTCTTTCTGGCTGGTAGGGCCTATGCTTATCAAAAGGGTTTTAGGGTTGGGGGGTTCAGGATTTGGGTGTTAGTGGCTGAGGGTTGAGGGGTTTAGAGTGTAGTAGGCCCGGAAGTGACCATGTTTCTTTGGGTACACGTAATATACAAAATCCAAAAACTGTCACCCTCTAGAAGCAGGTTGGTGCTGCCGGGCCCGAACCCTAAACCTAAGCCCTAGGTGCACTGTCGGGCTTTGGGGGATTCTGGAGCTTACACTTTACTAAAGGGCCTATAGGGCTCAGTTGGGTGTGGTTGTCTCCAAAATTTACTAAACCCTAAACCCTAAACCCCAATTAAGCCCTGAACCCTAAACCCTACAATTGAACCCTACACCGCGAACCCTGGAACCTAAAACCCTACCAGGAAACTCTAAACCCTGAATCCTCAACCCTAAACCCTAAACCCTAAACCCTAAACCCTAAACCCTAAACCCTACCTGGACCCTAGAGAACTTACCTTTTTAGAGTTCCTTATTATGGTTTCCTTATCATGGTTTCTTATATAAGTTCTGAAAAAGGTAGGTTCTTTGGGGTTCAGGTAAACCCTAAACCCTGAACCCTAAACCCTAGACCCTAAACCCTCAACCCTAAGACCTAAACCCTAAACTTAAACCCGAAACCCTAAACCCTAAAGGCTTATGGGGCTCAGGGTTTCTGGCTTCGGGGCGCAGGGCTTCAGTTGCAAGGCCCAGGAGTCAAGGCAAGGAGCATACTGTCTTTTCTAGAGAGTTTTAGGGTTTAGGTCTTAGGGTGTAAGGTTTAGGTTTTGGGATTTAGGGTTTAGGGTTCAGGGTTTAGGTTTCATTACTATGATTTTGAGGAATTAGGTCCCTATATAGGTCCCTATATATAGCCACAAGTTGGGGCCTGATACCATGATGGTAGTTAGGGGTCGGAGTAGGTAACCTTTAGCCGTTTGGGGCTCATATCGTGTTACTATAATTCAGAAGGTTCTCCTTTTTTGGGTTCTCCTTTTTTTGGTACTCAGCCCCTAAATATAGGGGTCGGAGTACTTGGAGCAGTATTCTAATAGTCTCTGCAAAGCTGTACTATAGCATGTTCCCAAAACGTGAAACGAAAGCCCTTATTCTCATTGTTGTGGCCCCTATATACTGTGCTGGGTTTTATGATAATCCCTAACCCGCCAGTACCTACTATGTAGGGTACTAGAGCCCCCAGGGCCCTATATAGTAGGTACCTGGAGGGTTGGGAATTACATGGGTTCGGTTTGGGACCTCTTTCCCGGATCCAGGTGCCGCTGCATGTTTCTGCAGCCATGAGCCATAAGTTTAGCAACCCCTAAACCCAAAGTGGAGTCTAAGAAGTCAGAAACCCAAACTCCTAAACCCTAAACCCTAGACCCTAAACCCCTAAACCCTAAACCCTAAACCCCTAAACCCCTAAACCCAAACTGGAGCCGATGAAGTCGTAGCCTGGTCATCGCGGGGGTGCGGGGAGTCGGTCGCTTGTATCGTGGCTTTGCCCAGACAGCAGCGCCTCAGAAATTCCATTAGGGTTTAGGGTTTAGGGTTTAGGGTTCAGTTTAGTGTTGGTGGATATTCCTCCAAACTCTTTAACCTTTCAGCCCTGAACCCCGAAACCCTAAATCCTAAATCCTAAATCCCAAACCCATGCAGCCAATCTAAATGCAAGTTTGGATCGCTACTGGTTCAATTTCCGAGCTCGGATGCCTTCATCTGCCACCCCAGAAGCGCCAAGGTCTTCTCGGGGTGCTTATACGGGTTTAGTAAAGGGTTCAGGGCTTGGGGTTGAAGGTTTGTTTTTTTTTAAAAAAATTTTCAGGGCCTAGAACTCAAAACTGCAAACCTCGCCGAGTTTTCGATTTGCGTGCCTTAATTAAGTATATAATAAGCCGCAGACCTCTACAAGCATAAGCCCTTTCATTCCCAGACCGCCCACTATCCCTTCTTTTTTTAAGGCATATACCTTGAAGTATACTAGGATCCAGAAAAATTAGCATTTTAGGTATATTCCTTAGCTAAGGAATATCGGAAGCCCTGGGTTTCTGAGAGTGCCGAGGCAGCAGCGGCCAAAGCTGCCGCAGACTTCGTGCAGGCCGTGGAAGGCCATTCGATCCTCGAGGCCAGTGCAGCAAAGGGCCCTAAACCCTAAACCCTAAAGGATCTAGTGCCGATGCAAGGCAAGGGGCATTTTAAGGGTCTAAGACTTTGCGGGCTTGTTGGGCCAAAGAAATTCAGGAATCTGACGTGCAACACTGACCCTATATGTCCATGACGCGGAACTTTCGTTTGCGTGCGTATGCAGGCAGGAGATATATACAGAGCTCTCCCCGCCCCAAACCTGGTCTTCGAGCTCGTCTGAGTCCATTCGGCCACTCTAACTCAAGTTCGGTCTCTTGAATGCCTCGAACACTCCGAAGAACGGCTTTGAAGGCAGCCGCCCCGGCACAGCCGGTGCTGCCCCTGCCGGGTGTGCGCCGGACGCTCGTTCTGGCAGACACCAGCGCGCGTGGCACCCCAGAGGCTTGGGCGTGAGACTTTGCAGTGTCGGGCGTGGCCTAGGGTTTATGGTTTCGGGTTGCAACTTAGTGACCTTCGTACTGTAATCGGCCTGTTATGATGGGACCACGTGCTGCCACTACAACCGGTATAGGGTCATTGCGTATTAGAATTTCCACTCTGCTTGTTATAGCTTCCTGTCAGACATAACAGTGATAGGGGAAAACAACTACCTGTTTTCGATAGCTTGTTTTAGGGTTAGGATCGTATGATGTTAAGAGAAGTATAAGGTAACCAAACATAGTACTACAATTTAGAGTTTAGGTGGGTGCAAGCTTGGACAGACCACCTTGCCAGTCTCTGCCGCTGGGTGACTGCCACTGGGCCTTTGTCACTTCACACTGCCATTACTCTTGTTGTGATGGGCATTGTTCTGATATGTATTGTTGTATTTAGTGTTACACTTGCAACGATTCCATTCCTACTATTGCTGTTTCTATTGGTATTCTCAGCACTCCTGTTACTCTATATCATATTCTGTTACGTACTATTTTACTATCTTTACCATAATGTTCATTATGGCGCGCCAGTTTCGCTTCTGGAACCAAGGCTGCACGCGCGAGGTACCGGCGTGTGGAGGGCCGAGCTGCATCTCCTCACATTCCTCGAAGCGGGTCTTACTGTAAACCCTGGAAGGGAGCAAGTAATGTAGGGGCCTTAATAATTAGAATAGGGTTTGGGGGGTATGTTATACTATAACCTTCAATTAGGAACCCCAAAATTGTGTAGGTGATTATTGAGGCCTCTACATTACGAGTCGCTCACTGGTGAGTTTTGTGGCGATCTAGGTACCTAGCCTGGCTTCGGCCTCGACGATCATTCCTGTCATTTGTCGTAGTATAGCCTGATCCTAGTACCGCAGAGCTAAAGCCTTAAAGCCCGCAAAATAACAACCGTTGAGGCCTTGTTTCCTAAACTCTGCACAGGCAAAGCCCTAAACGCTTAACCCTAAAACCCTCACGCCGGAGCCCCTCACTACAGAACTTCAGTAGCAGGTCCGGTGCGAAAACCACCATTCTACAGCCTGGTAAGGTTAACTTCTAAAGCAGTTCGAAAGCCACTATGCTTAAGCCCTGGAAGGTTAACGCCCTACTTCAACTTGATAAGGCCAAAGTCCCAAAGCCTCAGTAATATACACATACATAGCTATGTGTAGCAATTGTTAAGTGTACATTTATATCTATCTATACATATATATATATATATAATCAACCTGTATATATGCATATACATATATGTACAGATATGTATACATAGATATTTCCATATATGTATACATATATACATATAGAAGCAATTCTCTGGCTAAAGCCCTGCTTACAGCCCCAAGGCCAGGTCGAGTTCGCTCCTCCTGGCGCCAGGCTGCCGGCGGGATTTAAAGACACGAAGCCTTTAGGGTTTAGGGTTTAGGGTTTAGGGTAGGGTTTGCGCCTGCTGTCTATCTGTATCTATATTCTAGGAGCCTTATCAGAATATTTTTTGTTTGTGTGGTCTTACTGATGCTGATTTAGTTTTACAGTAACTTGGTAGAATTCATTCATGAGGTTTTAAGGGGTGCTGTACGGATTCTATGAGGGTCCCATAAGGGTGGTTAAAGAACAGTGTTTGCAAGGGTGTTGAGCTTTATGGCTAATGCCTTGCTGGAGGCTCCCATATCGATTCGCTTGCTGCCAGTGTGCGCTATAGACTGGCTTTAGAAGCTAATCATCGCCTGCCTCTAAACCCTAACTGTTACGCTTCCACAACGGAGGCCGGTGATAACGACGGTGGCCTCAAGCGGCTGAATCCGTATCGCTGGACGGAGGCAGAAGGAATCCTACTGGGGTCGGTGTGGGGTTGCCGAGGTTTAGGGTGTAGTGTTCCTAAACGGGTTGCAACAGCAAGGCTTGTGGGGTTTTAGATGTTTGAAGCTCTTTGCTTCAGAGCCTTCTGTCAAGCCCTTTACCGGAGAAGTCCTTAACTAAGCAAGGTAGTCTCAGGTTCAGGGGAGAGTAATGTTTGTTGTGGTTTGGTATGTGGCTTTGCAGCTCCAGCCCGGGTTCGTAACAGTTGCTGCCCATACTTTTCCAGGCTCTCTTGCAGGTACTGTGGCCTATACACCACATATATATATATACATATATATATATATGTATTTATATTTATAATATATTTATATTTTTATTTATTCATTTATTTATTTATTTGTATACTTATATATATGTATATAAATAGACGAGTACATATATGCAAGGTCGCCAATGTAATCCGCAGCTGGAGGTCTGGGGTTTGAGGGTCTGAACTTCCAGGTTGCCCCTTGTCACTGTGCACAGGCCTTAGGGAACTTGACAGACCGCCTAAAAAAGCCACGGTTTAGGATTTAGGGTTTGGGGTTTAGGGTTTATGGTTTAGGGTGTAGCGTCCACAGAACCACTTATTGGGTCTTGTTACGGTGATGACATGGCAAGTATCCATGGCTCCTTCACATGCAGAGCCGCTAAGTCTTTGTTGCGTCTAGTCTAGTGTTGACCTTGACATAGTAGTTTCTCCAGTTTAGCGATTCCGACGTCCCTTCCCATAGGCCCTAAAGTAGTTCCTGTTTGGGATTCCCTAATAGGATTCTAAATATGAACCCCCAAAAGGAACTACTTTGGGGCCTATGGGTTCTGTGTTTGGAAGGATCCTGGAATTTGAGAGCTTGGGCGGGCCAAAATCCGTGCAAAGTCTCAGGTTTAGGGTTTAGGGTTTAGGGTTTAGGGTTTAGCATTGCAGCTGTCCTTGGCAAGCAAAGGCGCGATGCCCCAAAACCAGCGGCCCACACCCCGAACAAGGGATGCTGCATTGGAAGCCCTTGAGGGCTTCAGCCGAATTATATAGCTACCTATAGTCTCCATTGTAGTTCCTTTTTTGGTTTAACCTATTATATTTTTTGGTTTAACCAATTATATATAAAGGATTCTATAAGGTATCCCCAAAAAGGAACTACAATGGAGACTATAGGTTATAATTGGGATCCTACTTTTTGGGGGTACTATATTAGGGTCCCCTATTTTTGGGAACCCACATATGCTCGGAGGCCAAGCCAGAGCTTTGAGAACTTCGTGGAATGCGGCTGCGCGTGATCAAAAAAGTCTGGGCTTGGGGGCGCTGAGAGGCTTGGAACGGGTTGCGGGCATGTACTCAAGGTAGCTCTCTAAAGTATGCTTCCTTTTATTAGGGTACTTTGTTATAGGGGTCCGCGTTCTTTTGGGTTCCTACAAAAGGGGTGCTAATTTAGAGAACTGCCCATCTAGCTCTCGCAGTAGCGGCGCTGGCCGCTGGCGGTATACACCAGCAGAGCTTGCCCAGGAAACATACCCTAAGGGTCCATGTACCCGCATAGTAGATATTTTGGCTTTTAAGTAGTCCCTGATGGGGTACTTTGGGGCCAAAGTATCTACTATTTGGGTACATGGACCCTTAGGGATACAGATGTTGGGCCCTGAACAATAAACTAACCTTAAGCACTAAATCCTAAGCCCTAAATCTTAAATCCTAAACCCTATAAGCCCTAATCCCTAAACCCCCACAACCAAGCAGCTGAGCCAATGCCAAGACTGTGAAAAGGACGCGAGCTGAGAAACGGAGGGGTTCTGCGTTCACAGATGGGATTTTAGGCTTTAAAGTATTTTAGAGCTTAAAGGTTTATGATTTTTTGGAAAGGCAGGCTGCAACATATATATATATATATTATTATTATTATGTATTATGTTTATATATATATATATATAAATGAGTTTTTCTAGCAGTAAGGTCGGCCGGGACCAGTGATTCTCCGGGTGATGGTTTGTTGTGCGCAGCACCACCGTGGCTTGGCTAAGGTGTTGGGTATATTCAGGGGTAGAGTTTAGTGCCTACGGCTTAAAACTATGCAGTTAAGGCGTAGAGTCTAGAGCTTACGGGTCTTGAGCTGGGGCTACCTGTTCCAAACCCCACCGCCTTGCGAAGCTTTTCCCTCTCAACGGACTCTGCTGGGCATTGCGCGAAAGGTCTAGTATTCGATTCAGTACGAAGCTCCACATCACACCGACCCAAACTGTATTACGAGCCATTCCAATATAGCCAAACAAATACTTGTCATATATATATATATAATATTTATTTTTATATTCATACTTATATTTATATTTATTTTATATTTAAATTTATTTAGTTATTTATTTATACTTGTACACATACACATACGGCAGCAAGAAAGACCTTGCCTAAACTACCAAGTGGCAGCTTCCGATCTTGCTGAGCAAGAGAGCTCCGAGCCTCTGGAATACTGAAAGGGCTTCTCTCAACAAGTTTGGAGCCTGAAAATCCCCGATGATGGCTGTCTGCATTCTGCATACCCTTAGCCCCTTGAAGCCGCAAATATTGTAATAGGGTTTAGGGTTTAGGGTTTAGACATTTTCGAAACCCTCGATGCCCTGAACCCAAGATACGTCAAGAAGACCTACACACGCAAATCAAGCCTCGTTTTCCTGTAGGTATACTGATCACTGAAGCCATGCCGCCGCGAGTACTCCAGGGGGCTCCTATACGCGCTGGCACGCAGGAGCGGTTTTATGTAGGCACCTGATTAAGAAACCCTGGCCCTATAACTCCAATACATTAGGTTCATATGGTTAAGAACTCTTAGAAAGGCCCAGGGTTTCTTAATCAGGTTCCTATTTTTGTAGGGTTTAGGGGTCAGGGTTTCTATGTAAAATGGGTCAGGGTTTCCTGAGGACTAGACTGGGAGGTTTTCAATTCTGGATTCAGGGGACTGTTCGCTCTCCGTGTCTTTTATTTGTGTCGATGCAAGAACGACATACAAGTAAGTCTAGGAGCGTCATAGTAAGATGATGGATATGCTGGAAATCTTTTGTTGTTCAAGTCTTCGAGGCCCCACCAAGGCAGGCTGGTTCCCCTCAAGACACCGTGGCCGAAGGATGTTCGACTTGCCTGATTCTTTGCAAATACATGCATGCAGGCATGCATCTAAATGCATACATAAGTACATGTTACTATATGTTATCGTTCGGCCGTTCGTTGCTTATACTGACCCTGAGGCCTATCATGTGTTGACGATTTGCTTTAAGTTTTGTCTTTCAGAACCCCGCCCCAAGAAGGAAAGGTAAGCAGTAACACAAGCATGGTTTCCCAGAGGCCAGGCACCCATCCTGTGTCTGAAGGATCGGTGGGTTTTCCTGGTTTGCCAATCAATCTTCGATGGCACGAAAAAACCTTGCTTTATCTTGAGTTAGACGGTGCACTATGCCCCAACGAACCATTCTAGTTATTGAGGCCCGTTAATAAGTTCATTACCTGCATGGTATTTCAAAAGTCTGTAGGCATGATCCAATGTCGTGTTGTTTCGGTCTACCCTTGGTTCCCAAGCTGTCCTGTTGTCATATGAACGAAAGACGGTTTAGGGTTAAAGCTTTGGGGGCGTCCAGGCAAAGCGAGACACAAAACATCCAAGGAAAGCCCAAAGCAGTCATGATACAAATGGTCCATATATCAGCAGATACAGATACAGATGCAGATCAGCCACATGCTAAGAAGCCACAAGGGAACTGAACCCTCAACCCTGAATCTCGACCCAATTAACTAGTCCCGAAACCATACAACCATACAATATAGACCATGAGCCTAAAGCACTGTACAAGACCTTATGACCCCAAAGCCACAGACTTTCTGGCACCCGGTTCATACAGAGGTCGGAATTATTACTAATAGTATCCCCTTATAATTCCTGCTTAATGAGACTACCCTAAGGGTCCATGTGTCCAAATAGTATATACTTTGGCCCCAAAGTACCCATATAGGGACTACTTTAAGGCCAAAGTATATACGATTTGGGTACATGGACCCTTAGGGCTATGGTATATCCCTCAACCCTATTCTACGTAATCAGGCCACAGCCCGCTACTCAATAGTAGCCTTTATAGACCCCAGTAAACGAACCCTAGTCTACCTATAGTCTCCATTTGTAGTTCCTTTTTGGGGTTACCTTATGGGGACCTAAATATGGAATTGGTTAAACCAAAAAAAGGAACTGCAATGGAGACTATAGGTAAGAATTACGGCCCCTGTATTAGGCGGTTCGCTATGCCGCAGCGCCGCGACCGCATCAGCAGGCCACTCCCACCATGTAATCTCGGGGCCCAATACTATTTTTTGGGGGGCTTGTAGTATGTAGTACAGTTAGAGTACTATAATATACCTCAAAAACAGTATACGAATCAGAAAAGCCAATTGTATTATAATAGTTTGGCAGGGTGGGGTTACCTCGGGGGGTTCTGGGTTTTCGAGCTGGGAAAGTCATTTCTCCCTCTCTTTCTCTCTCTCTCTCTCTTTCTCTTTTTTTGTTCTCTCTCTCTCTCTCTCTTTCTCTCTCTCTCTCTCTATATATATATATATCGGTTTTGTTGGGTGGTAGGGTGTTATAGGGTCTCGGATTTCATATGGAAGGCTTCATAGTTCTGACAAGAGCTGCGTAGAAGGGTGTGTGTATGACTTGCACGGTGCTTGTGCAGGCGTTCAGGGTTTAGGGTTTATGGGGTTCGGGTGTAGGGTTTTGGGATTATGGGGTTCGGGTTTTGAGTTTTTAGGGTTTAGGGCTTTGGGTTTATGGGGTTCGGGTTTAGGGTTTAGGGTTTCTGGGGGTTGAGGGTTTAGGGTTTATGGGGTTCAGGGTTTAAAGTTTAGGGTTTATGGGGTTCAGGGTTTACAGATGCTTAGGCGCGTATCGGAACTTGGTGACTGATACAGCCGGTAATGCATGTTGACATCTTCAAGGCTGTTGTTTCGGCTTTTGGGTCGGGCGTAGGGTCTGTTAAGTCGTTGACATCACATACTCCTGGGACGGTGTCATGTAGCAGTCTGTATATATATATATATATGTACACATATCTACACACATACACTCAGCAAGACTACAATCCTGCCAGACCCGCTTACAGACATAGCACCGCAGGACCGCCAAGCCCTGTTCCGCTGCTGCTTTCACTCCAGCCGTGAGACAATCTTGACCAACCTCATGGGCCTTAAACACAAATTGGAGCTTCCGAAAATAAGGGGTACCTTATTTTGGGGTCCTTATAATAATTAAGGGTCCTACTATTTAGGGTACTAGAATAGGGTCCCCTATTTTGGGAAACCCCCAAATCCCGAAACCCAAAACCCTGAAACCCTAAACTGAGTCCGAAAGATTGAGCCCTCTGAGCCCTTCCGTTTCCGTGAGGCATTGCTGCCGATGCCGACGTTTGGGCAACAGCCGGTGGCCATCGTCGCTGGCCAGGCGCCGGTGGGGTCTCAAACGGTTTAGTGCTTAGGACTGGGGCCAAGGGGCCCCCTTGGCCTGGGTTTAGGGCTTTTAGGCCGTTTACGGTTGAGGGTTTGTAGGGTTTAGAGTTGCCCCATGGCCCGGGTTTAGGGCTTTTAGGCCTTTTACGGTTGAGGGTTTGTAGGGTTTAGAGTTTCGGGTTTAGGTAGGGTTCAGGTCCGTTTAGGTTTTAGGGATGCAGGGCCTGGTAGGCTTTAGGGTTTAGGGTTTAGGGTTTAGGGTTTTAGGGTTTAAGGTAGGGTTCAGGGTCTTTTATTTGGGCTCATAGGGTCTTTAGGGTCTGGCAGGGTCTAGGAAATGTTGAGCGCTGAGTTTCAAAGTGTTCTGCGCTCAGTGGTTTTTCCGGTTCTTGAAGGACTTATGCTGCAACTTGTCCACAGGGTTTTTTCCAGGGATTTGCCACGGTTTTACGGGCTTCGACTGTTTTCGTATGGGGTAGCTCAAATTTGTTGTGCGCTTCTCAAAGCAAGGAACCTTGCATGGTTTCAGAATCTATACAGGGGTTCTCTATTTTCCGTGCGAGTGTGTGTGTGTGTGTGTGCTGCATTTCTGACTGGGTATTGGTCTGAAGTAGTGGGCAGGGGCTCCTCTATTGCAGCAACCGAAGTACAAAGAAGGGGAGGGCGCAGTTGATACTTCAAGAGTTATATACGTAATATAGGGCCTTAATAATTAGAATGGGGTTTGCGGAGTATAGTATACTTTAATCATAAGGAACCCCCAAAATCCTATTCTAA